AATGTAACATCTACCTATCGGAAGGCCACCGACTCACCGACTCCCCCAGAGAGATGGGTCAAGATTCACTTAAGCAGGTGATGCGACCATAGCAATTGTTTTGTTTTGGAGGAGCTTGGAAATAAACCCACGATCAGTGCAGATTTCACTGTATGTTGAATCCTCTAAAGTTGCCGGTTCGACTTGTTGATTGAAGGTCTAAAACTCTTGACTATTGGCTGATTTTTCACTTAATTCTGGACTGCTGGGCTCACAGCTATCACTTGGGTTCACTAGCATTGGTTGATTGAAGATTACTCCTTCCGATTGATGAATGCTAGTACTGCTATTGACCATGAATATCTTGCTACATGGGCTTTGGTTCTGCTGGGTATCGTTCATTTTTCTCTTAGTGCGCGCATGTTTTTTTTTATTCTTCATCATAGAGATTTTTAGCCGAAGGCTAGTTCATCTCTTACTGCGCTCATGTGTGAATTCTAAGTAGCTGGAAGAATAGACTACAACCCGTCCAACTGACATGTACGGACTGGGAGCTACCTAGACCGGAATTTATTTGCCTTTTGTCGACTGACAAATCAAATCCTATAAAAATTATGCCTGCTTTGCTCTGTGGCCATTCAAGCAACATTGAAAGAAAAGATTAGGCAATTCATCGATCACTTACGCCGAACTGCAGCTCCAAATGCCAGGTACAACAACGAATGGTGCCGTTCTCCACAGTGCCGGCAGCTTTAGGGATGCTGGCAATGCCTAGCCGTATGTCCCGAGTGCAGACAGTTCATACATAGATCGCGTGACACACATCGAGAGTGGCCTGCTTCTTTTGACAGTCGAGTGAACACTGTTCTATCAAATTGCGCGTTGAATATGGTATTAACGAAGTGGAAAAATAACTTGAAGTGTAAAGATACGATTGTTGCTGTTTTTTTTGGATCCAAAACGCGCTTTTGAAACAATTTCTATGACCTTATTGTTAAGATCAATCAAACGCTTTGGAATTACGAGTACTGCATATAAATGGTTTGAAAGCTATTTGTCTGACAGAATTCAAAGGACTGTTTTTAATGATTCTGTTTCCAGTCCCGTGGGAAATAACCTTGGAGTGCTCCAAGGAAGTGTATTAGGGCCTCTGTTATTTATTATGTATATTAATGACTTGCGACGTGTTCTACGATTTTGCGACAATAATCTTTTTGCAGATGATACTGTGTTATTGATTGCAGCTAAGGATTTAGAAGTTGCCGTCTCACACTTGAATGAAGATTTGCAGTATCTTAGTAGATGGTTGAAGTGTAAGCAGTTAAAATTGAATGCAAGTAAAACTAAATTTATGGTAATTTCGTGGAATCGATTAAATGAGAACGTCTCTGTTGTAATTGATGATGAGACTATTGATCGCGTTCAGGAGATTAAACATCTTGGCGTGATTATTGATGACAAACTTAAGTTCAACTCTCACATTGACAATGTCATCAAGAAAATTGCCAAGAAGTATGGAATTCTATGTCGGTTGAAAAACGATTTAACTATTGCCAGTAAAATACAGCTATACAAATCAATCATCTCTCCTCATCTAGACTTTTGCTCTTCCATTTTATTTCTGGCCAACGAAACACAAATATCGAGATTACGGCGCTTGCAGAATAAAATAATGCGTTTGATATTGAGATGTAATAGATTCACTTCCTCAACTTTGATGCTAGACGCCTTATAATGGTTGTCGGCGAAGCAAAGAATTGTATATTTGACTATGGTGTTCATTTTTAAAGTAGTTAACGGTTTGCTGCCTCGATATTTGTGTGATCGAATTGAAAGAGGAAGTGACTTTCATAGATATAATGCTAGAAACGCGGTTGAAATTAGAACACCACATATCTTGACTTGTGCTTCACATAATTCATTTTATTATAAAAGAAAAAATATTTTCAATTCGATGCCTAGACATATCAAACGTTCAGCAACAGTTACAGAATTCAAAAGACACTGAATTTCACATGTTAAAACTGTCTTTTGAACAGTTATCCAGTGATTTTTTTTTATGAATTGACAAATTATGTATCTTGACGAAGTTATCTCTAATGGATTATTTTATATGGATAGCTGTTATAACGATTTTTTAATAATTATTGTAGCACTGTAAACACTATTTCTTTTCGCCACGATGGTGATGATGGATTTTTAATATTTGATTTAATTGTAGTAGATTTAAAAAAAAGTACTCTACTAAGGTTGGAGCCTTGCACGCGTATTACGGATATAGATGACTGAATTTTAAAATTCAATAAAATGCAATTTTGAAGCTTATTTGGAAGAAGTTCGTAGTAAGTTTTCTAGCAAATGTTGGGGGTTCGTGAGCATTCCTAACATTGTTGAAAATTATGATAGCATCAGATTGCGGGGTTGCTAGTGTAATAGGATGCTTTGTTGATTGTTCTTTAACTCTTGATTGCTTGTAATACTTATGAATATTTTAGGTGGACAAAAAGGCGTAGTAAGTAAGTAAGTAAGTAAGTAAGTAAGTAAGACGCCTGAGCTTTTTCACATTTATATCGATGTGAAGCAACTGTAAACTCTAGAGGGAATCTGTATCTGTAACTGTAACCAGTTCGATTTTGTTTGCTAACCTGGTTCAAATGTCATATTTAATTATCTTAAAGATAAATCGTCCAGCTCAAACCTTTGTAGGGGTAAGAGGTGAGACCATCATCATCACTTTTTTTAAGTGTGAAATGCGCAATATTAATCACATTCACGAATTCCCGATGAATGAGAACGGGGGAAAATCGAAAACGACACTTAATTACGGAAGGTATCAATCAAAGTGTTTCGCGTATACTCTCCGGTGTATACTTACTTCGAAAAGTGATTCGCGTGACTGCGATAATTACGGTGTACGGACGAAGCACGCTTTAAATCATGTCATTAAATTTTGAATGCATTAAGAGATGATGTTGCATGCTCTGCAGGTCCCCAGCGTGGACATTGTTTTCAGTTATGTTTTGGCTGATCGTTGGAGGGTGACTTCTTCGTTAACATATTTGCGAACGAATTTGTTAACGAATAATAACCTAGTATTCGACTAATTCCTTGCCTTTGTTTCGCTTTCTCCTTTCAGGTAAGTCACTTCAGGGACATTCATCCATCGTAAATCGGATCAAGAAACGACCAAGCTTCGGTGATTCGATACAGACAATAGGAAAGAAGTTTCCGTAAGACATTGTTCAATGTTGGCTCAGGTAGCACCAAGAAGATGTCAAGGATCCTGGGGTCTACAATGGCTATTTGTGTTGTTTTTTAAGGACATGCTCAACTAGGAAATCTAGATAATTCACACAAATTGTCACTATATCTACGAACGGATTGTCTTAAGGACGTCGGTCGGTGATCGAAGAAGATCAACTGAGAACTCATGTCAAACGTATAGATTAGGGGCTTTGGATGAGAAATCGATTAAGACGCAGCAAGACTATGCTGGAGACAGCTGGGTTCGATTCCAGGTCCGGGCTTTTTTTCGAGTTCCAAAAATTTCTCGATATCCCTGGGCATGGAGTATGATTGTACTTGTCACACAATTATGCTAATGCAAAAATGATACAGGCTGAGAGAGCTCTCAATTGATAACTGTGAAAGTGCTCAAAGAACACTATGTTGAGTCCTGGCGTTTCCAGCAGGGACGTAATAAAGCCAAAGAGGAAGAAGAAGATAGGTTCTTATGAAGGGTGAGTGTCTAGTAGTCTACAGTCCATATAAATTAAAAAAAATGTATGGATGATTGTTACTCAAGAGGAAGAGGGGAGGGGTCTAAAACCTTTGAAAAATCATCTACGTAGTCTTTGAATAGCCCGTCATCAATAGAACTTTAGGTGAACTTAAATCAACATTGGAGCAGTTCCACGCCAAATGGCGATTCAAGAAGACTGGACCTTCTCCGTTTTTCATGAAACTTTCCGTAATTGTTTGTTATGGGCAATGATTCACATTTTTGCTAAAATTTGACCATTTTGGATCTTATTTTTTTTTTAAATGGCGTCCTTGAAATTTTTATAAAAAATTCAGCACGGAAACGCCATCAAGGTTATTTCGGCAAAATTATCGGCAGTTTCATGAATATTCCTGAAATTACTTCTGGAAATTCCCGTAAAATATTTTTTATTAATAAATCCACGACAATTGGCAATTCAGAGAGATTCTCTGAGTATTTTTCAAACTTTATTCAGTAGAAATTCTTAAGGGGCTTGACATTTAAACTATTTTTCATGTTTATCTGGCACCGAATCTCCAGCTGGTGTTTTTTTTAAGGCTCAATGTCGGTAGAGCTAAACGGAGCCGAGGGACTAATTTGTTGTGGTGCATTTAAGGGGATTGAGTTATTTATTTTTCTCCAAGGTTAAGTAATCCAGTTATGGCACTAGTGCTCCAGTTTTTGATTCTCTTATTTGAGATGAATTGAAAATTAAGATAGGGCCAATTAGGGAACCTCTTGGGCTAAAAACCGGTTCACTTAACCTACTGTTTTTTTCTTCTGCATCGCTTCATATTCCGCCAGATCAGGCCAATGCTTCAGCCGTTACTGGTGCCAAGTAAGTGGGGGGACATTCATGACTTGTCCGAGATGAGATTTGTCCTCGTGACTTTGGTGTGAAAGGTACTACGATTTCAGAAAAAAACTGGTGCGGAAAAATAAGACTTGCAGGTATTTAGCTGTTCTCCTCTGATACGCATTATGTTTCGGCTGACGATCAACATCCCTGATCTGTATTCTCTCTCTAAAATAATGTTTGCCATTATTTTACACTTTTTAAATAGTTGATAAATATCAATGTTCTATAGCATAGCCCGTTCAGCTGCCTTTATTGCTTTAAATTGCGCTTACGCACATCGGTACCACCCTTGTAAATCATTGCCGTGTCCGGTGGTACTTAAGCTGCTAACAGATCATTCGATCATGTTAATTAGTACCAGCTACAATATATAAATTAACACTATTAATCCAGACTGAACACAGCTCATCCGAAAGTCGAAAGACCTCCACCGAACGCAATGTTGCTGCCCGGTTTACTCTTCACTATGGCGGCCCTCTTCCGGTCCGTCCAGCCGGATGGAATCTCCGACGTCACCTTCCAACGGGTTCAGCAAACCATCGGATTCGATATCATGAAGTCGAACCTGCGCATCACCAAGCTCAACCGGACCTGCGCCGTTATGAACGGCACCATGAACTTCTTCGTGAACATGGACAATCGCTTCACGGTAAGAAGACCCATCCGGCGTACATTTCCTATAATTCTAACGTGAATCCGATTGGAAGTTTCAAATTAAAAGTGCCTACAGCCGCCTCGGCAACAACCAATTCAACGAGTACCCGATGAAGATCCCCGAGCAACCGTTCTGTCAATTTCTGAACGACAGCTACCGGGACTATCAGGAGCTGTTCAAACAAACCACCAACCTGCCGCAGGTAGATTCCGGGGGCCACTGTCCGTTGCCGGCGGCGAACTATTGGTTCAAACACGTTGTGGTGAAACCGAAAACCATGCCGCAGATGATCCCGGAAGGCTACTGGCGGCTGACGGTGCTGTTCACCGGACCAGAGGGTGAAGCCGACCTGCAGCTGTTCCTCAGGGTGTCCAAGGAGTCGTACTTTTAAGGGTTCGCGGGAATAGAATTTGGCAATAAATGTGCAGTTCCGCAAATCTCCACAGTCGATTATCCAGAATTTGTCGATCCAGACAATCCGACCTGCTTAGGAGAGTCTACAGAACGCTCCACTTCGTTGTAAGCGACAACTATTTCCATAGTGAATGTCCAATGTCACTCTACATGTTGTTATGGAAGTTGTCATCAGATATTCAATGTCATAACTTGTTGCAACGACGAAGACAAAGCTGTATGCTCGTTGCCTGTTGTTGATTCTCGGGTTCAGAAATCGAATGGTCTGGAAACTGGTTCTGTTATCTCTCGCTGGAATTCTAGTTTCCTTAAGGCTTCGTCATTCTCTACGATGGTTCGGTGTCCGCTGTAGCCTTGGTTGGGTGAGAAAGGATAGTTTAACACAAACCGCAAGTCCCATGCTGCCATGGACGGATTTCACGGTGGCACCTTATCAGATGCCAATGAAACATTGTGAGGGTAAAGATTTCGTCTACTTAAGCAACGATGCATGCTTATTTTTCTTGTAAACGATAATCTAGATTACCATTTGAGCAGAGCGGACCATTTTTTTTTTAATTTTTCTTCAACAAATTATAGTTCAACATTGATAAGACCTCAAAACATGTGGTTCAAGAGTGATTTATAAAAAAAATCAAAACATAAAAAATATAATTTCTACACTGCAAAAACACTACCAAATGGAAGTTTTTGGAACTGGGATGAGGTGTAAAAGCCGGAAATTGTTGTTTGGCTCCATTATTAAATCTTGCAAAACTTTCAAATACGAAATGTCCAGAAAATTTAACGGGATCCTCCGAGAACTTCAATGAAGTCCCGAGAACTTTCCTTTCCTGGCTCGTTCTGAAATTTTCGAGGTAGTTCCGAGAACTTTAGGAAATTTGCATGAATTTCAAAGAATACTTCAAGGTCTAAGAATTTCAGGGAGCTTTTGGCGAGGCTTTAGAGGAGTTCCGAGAACTTCAATAAGATTTCGAAACTACTGGTTAGCAACTTACCAAATACCAGTGGAGTCGCGTATCCTCACTTTTTACCTGTGCAGCAACTTTTAACAGATTTAATGCCATATTCATACTCGAATCGGTTGAAAAACACACTCAATCTTCTAGTTAACTCGATATCTATCCATTGCAAGCAATATTTTGATAATTGTTTATGTTTTGCGAGTTGGACCTGTGCAGATTGAGGTTAAGGCGACGCCACTGCCAAATACAGTTTCCTTCTAAATGACTTAAAGTTCTCGGAACTTCCCTAAGATCCCGTAGTTTTGGTGAAGATATCTAGAAAACTCCTTTTAAGATCTTTGAAAATCCTAGCCGTATTTGAACTCTTTAATAGTTCCCTGAACGTCCCTGAAGTTCTCCGAAATGTCAACTGAAATTTCAGTCACTTACCTCAAGTTAGCATGACTTTCTTAAAATATACGGAACTTCCCTTCTAATTTCTAAAACTTCGCTGATAATCTAAGAACAGCCAAAATCCGAGAACCTTTCTGAATATCTGGGAACTTACCACGAATTCCGCAAACTTCCATGAAATTCCGAAAATTTCCCGAAAATTTAACGAAAATTTTAAGAAATTTCTAGAATTTCCGAAAGCTTCCCAGAATTGTCGAGAGATCTAATAATTTTCGAGTAATTCTCTAAATATCTTGTAACTTCTCAGAAAATCTGAGAACTTCGCATAAATTATAAAAACAAAATATTAGAGAACCTTCCAGAAGTTCCACTCTGGGAACTGTTCTGAAGTTCTGGGGACTTCCCATACATTTCGAGAACTTCACAGAAGATCGAACAACTTTCCATAAGTTCTGTGTACTTCTCACATATTCGAAGCACTACTAGATCTCGATTTTCTAGATCTCTGAATTTCAATGAAATTCCGAGAGTTTCCCAGAAGACCTTCGAACTACCTAGCAGATCTGAGAAGTTCCCAGAAATTCCTAGAACTTTCCAGAAAATCCAATAATTTTCCAGAAGATCTCAGGAATTCTCAGTAGTTCTAAAAACTTCCTAGAAGATCCGAGTGCTTCCCAGAAATTCTGAGAGCTTTTTAGAATTCTCGAGAGCTTCCCAAAAGTTCCGCGAATGTCTCAGAAGATCTGAGAACTTCTTACAAAAATTCGTGCATTTACAAAAAAAAATCCGAAAACTTCCCACAAATTCCGAGAGCTTTCCAGAAGTTCAATAGACTTTCCAGTTGATTTAAAAACCTTCCGAAAACTTTCCATCAGTTCCGAGAGCTTTCTAGAACGTCAGAGAACTTCTTAGAAGATTTGTCAATTTCACAGAAGATCCGGGGACTTCCCATAAATTTCGAGAACTTCACAGAAGATCAAACAACTTCTCAGAAGCTTTGTGTACTTCTCACATATTCCAAGTACTACTAGATCTAGATCTTCTTGATCTCGAAATGTCCCAGAAATTCCGAGAGTTTCCCAGAAGACATTTGAACTACCTTGCAGATCTGAGAACTTCCCAGAAATTCCTAGCACTTTCCAGAAAATCCTATAATCCTCCAGAAGATCTCAGGAATTCTCAATAGTTCTAAAAACTTCCTAGAAGATTCGAGTACTTCCCAGAAATTCTGAGACCTTCCCAGAATTCTGGAGAGCTTCTCAGAAGTTCCGAGAATTTTTCAGAAGATCTGAGAACTTCTTACAAAAATCCGTGCACTCACGAAAAAAAATCCGAAAACTTCCCACAAATTCCGAGAGCTTTCCAGAAGTTCCATAGACTTTCGAGTTGATTTTAAAACTTTCCGAGAACTTCCCATCAGTTCCGAGAGCTTTCCAGAACGTCAGAGAACTTCTTAGAAGATTTGTCAATTTCACAGAAAATCCGGGGATTTCCCATAAATTTCGAGAACTTCACAGAAGATCAAATAACTCCTCAGAAGACTCAAACAACTTCTCAGATCTTCTAGATCTTGGAATGTCCCAGAAATTCCGAGTGTTTCCCAGAAGACCTTTGAACAACCTAGCAGATCTGAGAACTTCCCAGAAATTCCTAGAACTTTCCAGAAAATCCTATAATTTTCCAGAAGATCTCAGGAATTTTCAAAAGTTCTAAAAACTTCCTAGAAGATCCGAGTACTTCCCAGAAATTCTAAGAGCTTTCCAAAATTTTCGAGAGCTTCCCAAAAGTTCCGAGAATTTCTCAGAAGATCTGAGGACTTCTCACAAAAATCCGTGCTTTCACAAAAAAAAATCCGAAAACTTCCCACAAAATCCGAGAGTTTTCCAGAAGTTCCATAAACTTTCCAGTTGATTGAAACCCTTTCCGAGAACCTCCCATCAGTTCCGAGAGCTTTCCAGAACGTCAGAGAACTTCTTAGAAGATTTGTCAATTTCACAGAAGATCCGGGGATTTTCCATAAATTTCGAGAACTTCACAGAAGATCAAATAACTTCTCAGAAGTTTTGTGTACTTCTCACATATTCCAAGTGCTACTAGATCTAGATCTTCTAGATCTCGAAATGTCCCAGAAATTCCGAGAGTTTCTCAGAAGACATTTGAACTACCTTCAGATCTGAGAATTTCCCAAAATCTTTCAAGAAAATCCTATAATTTTCCAGAAGATCTCAGGAAATCTTAAAAGTTCCAAAAACTTCCTAGAAGATCCGAGTACTTCCCAGAATTTCTAAGAGCTTTCCAGAATTTTTGAGAGATTCGCAAAAGTTCCGAGAATTTCTCAGCAAATTTGAGGACTTTCACAAATATCCGTGCATTTACAAAAAAAAAAAAAAAAATCCGGGAACATCCCACAAATTCCGAGAGTTTTCCTTTCCGAGAACTTCCCATCAGTTCCGAGAGCTTTCCAGAACGTCAGAGAACTTCTTAGAAGATTTGTCAATTTCACAGATTTTGCGGGGACTTCCCATAAATTTCGAGAACTTCACAGAAGATCGAACAACTTCCCAGAAGTTCTGTGTACTTCTCACATATTCCAAGTAATACTAGATCTCGAAATGTCCCAGAAATTCCGAGAATTTCCCAGAAGACCTTTGAACTACCTAGCAGATCTGAGAACTTCCCAGAAACTCCTAGAACTTTCCAGAAAATCCTATAATTTTCCAAAAGTTCTAAAAACTTCCTAGAAGATCCGAGTACTTTCCAGAAATTCTGAGAGCTTTCCAAAATTCTCGAGAGCTTCCCAAAAGTTCCACGAATGTCTCAGAAGATCTGAGAACTTCTCACAAAAATCCGTGAATTTACAAAAAATAAAAAATAAATCCGAAAACTTCCCACAAATTCCGAGAGCTTTCCAGAAGTTCAATAGACTTTCCAGTTGATTTAAAAACCTTCCGAAAACTTTCCATCAATTCCGAGAGCTTTCCAGAATGTCAGAAAACTTCTTAAAAGATTTGTCAATTTCACAGAAGATCCGGGGATTTCCCATAAATTTCGAGAACTTCACAGAAGATCAAACAACTTCTCAGAAGTTTTGTGTACTTCTCACATATTCCAAGTACTTCTAGATCTCGGAACGTCCCCGAAATTCCGAGAGTTTCTCAGAAGACCTTCGAACTACCTAGCAGATCTGAGAACTTCCCAGAAATTCCTAGAACTTTCCGGAAAATCCAATAATTTTCCAGAAGATCTCAAGAATTCTCAAAAGTTCTAAAAGCTTCCTAGAAGATCCGAGTACTTCCCAGAAATTCTGAGAGCTTTCCAGAATTTTCGAGAGCTTCCCAAAAGTTCCGGGATTTTTTCAGAAGATCTGAGGACTTCTCACAAAAATCCGTGCTTTCACAAAAAAAAATCCGCAAACTTCCCTCAAATTTTGAGAGCTTTCCAGAAGTTCCATGAACTTTGGAGTTGATTCAAAAACTTTCCGAGAATTTCCCATCAGTTCCGAAAGCTTTCCAGAACGTCAGAGAACTTCTTACTACAAATTCTGGTGACTTCCAAAATTTCCAAGATCTGCTCAGAATTTCCGACAACTTCTCCCAAATTCTAAAATTCCCTATCAGCT